TAGCTCATATATATAGATATATATAGGTTCGTCTGTGTAATGCAACCCATGCAAAATGATAAATATTTGCTGTGGAAACGAAACAAGGATACATGATTTCCTAATTCCTAACTAGGGGTAGACATCCAGGCCCGGGTTACTATGGGCTAAGAATCCCATTAAAGCAAACTATTGAAGCCCATAGGTTTCATTTCCAAAGATTTTACTTTTTGTATTTGATCTAAATTTGTTTAAAAGAAATCACACATGTTGTTAATAACAAAAATCGTTTTGATAATAGGAATTTCAGGCATTCGTTTTAGGGCTGCGTATTCGGACTGGTTCTAGGTAGGATCCTTTCGGTTCCGAGTGAATCAATTATTTAGAAACTGTATTCAATGAGTACTTGGTCAACTAACGGTTGGTTTCGAATCGATTCCAACTGATTCCAGGTCGGTTCGGTTAACTTTAAACCCCAAATATCATGTTTCTATTTATTTTGTATTTTATTCTTATGATTTTTAGAAAAGAAAAATAAATATAAATCATATATGTATTAACAATATATAGGTCATTACAACAGTGTTGAAGTAGTCTAATAGTTTTTGGGTTTTATATTTCTCCTATGTATTTTTTTACATAGTATTCAGTTTAAAACAGATATCTATTCGGTTCCAAAAAAATCGAATCTAACTCGATACCTATAATTATTTACAAAATATCCAATGGGTAGAATTGCATATACCAAAACCAAACCGGTCCATATCGATCAGATCCGATTCCAGTTAAAAGTCCTAGCCCTAATTTGTTCCATCACCTTTCCTCTAATATCCAGAGTTGGCATTTAAAAGAGTGAATTGGGTAGAAATCCATAAGAAAATGGGAAATTAGGGATTTGCCATTTTTTGTGGGGAAAATAGTAATGTGTGGGGAGGAGAGATAAAGGAAGAAATAGGGTATGGAGTGAATTATAAGGTTTAGTGTGTGTATGGAGTGCAAATACTCTTTAAATTTTCCGAATTAAACAATGTCTTATGTATGTAAAAACAAAAACAAAAAACAATGTCTTATACCAAAAGATTGAAACTGGAACACAAAGAAACCAACCATTTTGTACTACCACTATATTATTATCCATTTATTTTGTTAACCATAAATTTGTTATCATAAATTCGTTTATTTCATTATCTTTATGATTAAAGATCAACAGTTTTCACCCTTTGAACTAATTATTTTTCTTACGTATATAGAATCATCAGCGTTTACAAGAAAAACTTGCTAAAGGTAAACCAAACATGCGAAAATCATATAATGTCTACTAAATATATGGACGAAGACTACAAACTTTGCGAACGAAAAGTATATATACGAACGTCATGGCCGTGAGTTTTGAATTAAAGCTATAAGTATCATGATTAATTATTATTACAATTTGAATATTGTAATCGCAAAATATTTGAGAAGATAGATCAGAATATTAAAAAGATGGTAAAAGGGATAAGCGTGGGGTCAATACCATATGGTTGTCAATTGTCAATAATTAGAATTTCAAATTTTAGAAAAAAACTTCCATGGTTTCATGTTTGGTGTGTGACATTCATGCAGACCAGAAACAGAAACTTAAACGTGCGGGACGTTAGCGTTTGAAACTGCCACAACACGCAGCCTCTCACGTGCAGACAATTAGGTTTTTTCTTTGTCATGCAAGCAACTAGTATATGAGTCATTATTTTACAGAAATCTACAAATTAGAATGATAAGTCACGGTTCAATGCACGCTGCTTAGTTTTAAGGTCATGCTGTAATTTTGGTTTTGTATACTGACTTTAGTTTTTGGCTTAGAAGTATCTTGCATGATACACGAGTTGAGGTTAGATATATAAATACTAGGGTAGGCCCGCCCTACGGGCGGATTAACAAATAATGTAAATTACTTAAAATGTAACTTATTCTTAACTTAAATTAAAACTAATTTTCATGTTTTTTATTAAAACAATTTATCTATTTATTTGACTATTTATTTTAAAAACATAAACTTATTAATTATTAAAATTTTAAGGAATATATTACTTTGCTTTTTAATGTTTTTTTAATTTAACTATTGTAATAGTTAAAGATAGTTTTTAAAAAATTGCTCGATAAGTTTAATGAAGTTATAAGTAATAACTAATAAGCAGCTCCAAGTTTAGATTACATAAAAAAATTAAAAGTGAGCATTACTATCTAAAATTATACATTTTTTGTTTGAGTATTAAATATACTATTATGATGTATGAAATAATTACGTAATCTAAATAACCCATGATTAGAGATTTAAAATAATTGATACTTGGGAATTAGCATAGTATAATTCTTACACTTTATTCTATATATAATATTTATTATATATTCTGACTTCATTTAAAATCAATTATTTATATATAACATGCTAAAGTGTTTTATAATAGTTTTGGATTATATAATATTTATTTAATCAAATTTATTATTTTCAATAAGAAGTTTGTGAACTTAAGATATTAGAAAGTAAATATATTAGTATAAGTAAATTTATTTACTATATTATTTTAATGTTTTAAAAAAAAATATATGATCTATTGTAAAATAAAAAGGCTAACCATTTTATAGTTGTTGATACATCGCATTGCAGAGGAATATCTCATAGCATTCAATGTCAGTTTGTGTTTCACGTCTAACTATGGATTTAAGAAGGCCATAAAAGGGAAGCATTTGTATCTCAGAGAGTTTCAGTTACTAAGAGTGAATACAAAGAGATGCGAGTGAAGATTAATCTGTCAAAAAATCTCTCAAAACACCATTGAAGATAATAGAGAACCAGACGATCATTTCTTGGTCGCCGCAGAACAAAGGGGAGAGAATAACCGTAAATTTCCATGTTTCGTGAAAGCATAAATAGAGTTGTTTCTGCAAGACTATCGAGCTATCTCCACATCAAACTATAAGCCCAATAAAACAAACGGAATAAGCCCATTCACACGAAATATATGACTTAATGAAACACAAAGTTTATAGAGATGGGACACGTGGTGTGTTGTTGGAACACGAATTAGTGACGTGGCACAATATGAGGGAAGGAACTCTTCTTTATAATAATAGATGCGTTACTTCAACAAATATAAGAAAAAACGAAAAAAATAAAAGCTCAATATTAAAATTGTTTTGTGCCTGATTTTTTTAACAGATGAACATTGACAAATGAAGCTGAGAATAATATTTTAGCCCCTTGTTTTCTTAATATTTTTTATTTTCTTCATTCTGTTTTTCTTATTATACCAAAATAAATTTCAAACTTGAAATATTAATGTTTCACATATATTCATATCTTCTTTTTCACTGATCAATAACAAAGAGTTAGTTATACTAAAAAGTGAATAATAATTGATTTGAACTTCACAACTACTGAATATTTAAAATAATATATTGTTGCAGTAAGGTTAATTAAGAATATACAGCATATATTTATGATCTAGATGTCAATTACCTTAATTTATCAATATTACATAATATTAACATGCTTCTAACAAATGACTTTTAGAGATTTCACACAAACGATTGATTGAGCTATAAATACATTATTTTTAAGATTAGATCAGAATTGATTACAAAATGATGGTATTTAACTATAAAAGGTAAACCGTAAACTAATAGGATGTAAACTTGTAATGAACATAAGTAGACAAGTCTAAAACTTAGTATCGAAGGGGGTCTCGCGAATAAAAGGTCCACATCATGTGTTGCTAGTTGCGGACATAAAACAACACAGAAGTGGAGGAGCAACAAAAGATGCAATATAGCCCATAGAATCTGTCCGGTCAATTGAACAAAGTGTTACATTTATTCTTTTTCCTTCTTTTGTGTACTCACTTTTTCGTTTCTTATTAGATATTATTGAGTTATGCCTAGATTTTCAAAAGATTACACAAGTGTACACACATGATATCAATTATTATCTAGCACGAAATAAGAAATAGTTTGCTCTTTTCTTTTATATGATACAAATCTATTTGCTACTAGATTTTAGTTGGTTATGTCAAGAGTTTCTAAATTACAATGTTACCACAAAACTGTTTATTTGTGATTCAAAGAGTTACAATTACCACATAATGTGTAGTTGATAACTTGATATTATTACAGAGCTTATAGCCATGATAATTCTAGGAGAAGTGGAGAGCGGCTTAAACATTTTTCTGGCAAGAAGGGTGAAATAAAATTTGACAGGCATATCTGAGCATGTATCCCTCTAATCGATATGCTATGTATAGATATGCCCGTCTCATTGTTTTTTATGGATCCTATGCAAATTCAGTTTTACTAAAACAAATAAAATAGTTTTACAAAATGTCTCCCTTTTTATAAAAAAAAATATTTTTATTTTTTTCTTCTTAAATTTGTAGCCAAAATATTATAAAAAGAATTAGACCTAGTGCAAATGCGCGTCATGCACAAAGATCTTCTAAATTTTCTAATGTGAAATGTGGACTGAAAATTAATAAACAAGAAAATGAGGAGACAATATAGAAACTTCTAAAAGTGTAGGGTTATCAAAGCTAATAAAAAAAAGCTTCCGCGTTTCCATAAATCTCAAACGTGCAAATCTCACACCATCTCGGTGCGATCGTAAAGTTGACCCAGCGATGAAACGATTGAGCGTGGACCCCACACTCCTTCTATATCTACATCCACTATCCGCAAATCCTCACCGTCCATTTCCCACACGTTATAGTATTTTTTAAACTCAGATTAATAGCTGTAGTTTAACCATTATAACGCGCCGAAAGAATTCTTTGACCAACGACCAATACTAAACGATAAATAAAACGAATTTTCTACATTTTATTACAAATCATGCTTATAATTTTTTTCCTGAAAAAGAATATATATTTTCAACTTTAGAGTGCGCTGAAATTATATTCTAATTTTGTAGTGTAGTTTTTTATAATAGCATAAAGAGAAGAAAAAAAATTATTCGATGTACGTTTTAAAGTAAAAGCTACTCGATTTATTTCATTATAATATTACAAAAAAGATATTTAAAATCCAAACACGCCCGTCAAAAAAGGAAAAGTTGACGTCAGCAAAGTTTGACTCTTTTTTTCTTCTCTTTCATCTTTTAAACCAAACCCCACGCACTCTCTCTCTCTCTCTCTCCAAAACATAAACAGACTTCTTCTCTCTCTCTAACGGAATCCTCTGAAGCTTTTAACGGAAACTCAACGGCCAATCAAAAATATGAGGAAAGACGATCTCTACATCACCGTACCAAGCTTCTTCCGATGTCCCATCTCCTTAGACGTGATGAAATCTCCGGTGAGTCTCTGCACCGGCGTCACCTACGACAGGGCTAGCATCCAGCGGTGGCTCGACGGCGGGAACAACACGTGTCCGGCGACGATGCAGATTCTTCAGAACAAGGATTTCGTACCTAACCGGACTCTTCAGCGTTTAATCGAGATTTGGTCAGACTCCGTTCGCCGGAGATCGGCGGAGTTTGCTGCTCCGACGAGAGACGAGATCGCCGACGCGATCGATAGAGTCAAGATCGAGAAGGAAGAGAGGTTTGACCGCGAGGTGTTGGCGAAGATTCTCCGGTTCGCGAGAGAATCCGACGATAACAGATCGTTTCTCGCCGGGAAAGATGACTTCGTGAAGCTTCTCGTTGATCTCATGAGCCAGGTAGATTTCAAAACCACCTCCGCCGCGAAATTGGTTACTGTTCAAGAGGCGGTTAAGATCCTTAGCACGATCCGAACCAAAATCACGGATCGGAGACGGTTTTCGAATCTGGTTTTAAATAACGGTCGAGATCGGTTAACAACGATCGTTTATTTATTTAAAACCGGGAATGTCGAATTAAAAATTGATTGCGCCGGTTTACTCGAATTTATCTCAATAGACTCCGAATCAAAGGTTTTAATCGCCGAGAGAGACGGTTTAATCGGGGAGTTAATGAAATCAATAACCGAACCGAGGTTAACCGAATCGACGTTATCTTGTTTACTCGCGATCAGCTCACCGAGGCGCGTGAAGCTCAACCTAATCCGAGAGAAGCTCGTCAACGATCTCACGAAGCTCTTAACGGATCCAACGAGCGTTTCCGTGACGGAGAAGTGTCTGAAGCTTCTCGAGAGTTTAGCGTCGACGAAAGAAGGTAGATCGGAGATCTGCGGCGGAGACGGGGAGTGTTTGAAGACGGTGGTTAAGAAGCTGATGAAAGTATCGACGGCGGCGACGGAGCACGCCGTGACGGTGCTTTGGAGCGTGTCGTATCTTTTCAAGGAGGAGAAGGCGGTTGAAGCGGTTACGAGTAGTAACGGCGTTACGAAGATTCTGTTACTGTTACAGAGCAATTGCTCTCCCGCTGTGAGGCGGATGTTAACGGATCTTCTTAAGGTCTTCAAGGTGAATTCAAGGTCTTGCCTTTCGGCTTACGACACCAAAACGACACATATCATGCCGTTTTAAATTCTTTTTTATTTTTTGCTCATTTTAGGGTTCTTAGATTTGATTTCTTGAGAAAAAAAAATATTATTGGGGAGAGAGAGAGAGTGGAACAAAGCATCAAACTGTAAACATTTTGAATTTTTGAATAGTAAATACAAACTAAAAAAAAAGATTCAATTCATTGCTCATCGAATGTACGTGTAGTCAATAATTCTCTTATTAATGTAAAGTAAAATCAAATTATTATGTTCTAGCATTTTCCAATCATATTGTTCGTATCATTGATATGAAATTGCTTTTTTTTTCTATATGCGAATTTTCATACATATATTCTGTTGGTAATAGGTCCAAGTTTGTTAAAAAGATGAATACGTCATATAGTTCCCATCGACCCACAATGTGTATCGATGTTACATGTGATTTCAATCTCGTCTTTAGAAGATTCGAATACATCACACACGACATAGACATAAGCCTATATAAGTCCTAATCATCTTTATCTTTTCCTTCATCTTGTGATATAACTTCATGCGTTGTAGTCCATATATATAAAATCTCGAATACACACTACTACACTCACTATAGTTTTTGAACCGACCAACTATCCATCTCCAATGAAAAACCATGGTTTTGATTTTATCCTTGGACATACTTAACCATCCTATCAAGGGAGACTTCTAGAGATTTTACGAATATACGTATTTGACTATTAATTGTAATGATACTACTATTTTATAAAAGAAAGTGTAGATAAGTTTAAAGGCTGAGATGGTCTCGAGGGAACCCATGAATGAGCTGGCTCCGGACCACTTATATTGAATACGAAAAGTAAACTACTTAGATGTACATTGTTTTCTCCATATTGACTACATGCGTGGAACTAACTTTGGTGTGCGTTTTGGACTTATATTTAAGTGTTGTTATTTTTTATACGATGCCTAGAAAAGATACATTTGATTAATTGTAAACTCTTTCCACTAGTCCAACTTTGAGACCTTGCCTTTGACTCAGAACTTGAATGAGAGACCAGAGTCGACGACAAACCGCCCACAAAGTATGAAATTCGGGATCTCTGTTTTGTTTTTGGCCATAGGAAAAGTCGTGGACAAAGATTTTATAAAATGCGTGAAAGTTAGATACTCGACTACTAAACCATTTTGAATTTGATTGGTAACTATAGGTGTATAAAGAATTCAACTAGATGGTACTATTTTTCTTTGGTGATTGGAAAGAAATACATTTGGATTTAAAAATACGGTTTGATTGAACCAGTGGACTGTACATGATTATAATCTTTGGGTGATGGAACTAAATATATTTTAGTCATTACAAAATTACCACCAGTTAAATTTACAACACTTTCGGGTTAGTTCACTCTGTAACACTAGATACATTTTTCTCCGTATTAACCGGATCAACCGATAGAATTTATCCAAAAAAACGATCAGTTAGATTTGTAGACCTTATAATTTTCAAGTGAACTGTTTTGGTTAATCATCAAATCATTTTACTCCGCCACTCGGTTAGCACCACACCTCGAACTACTACCACACTTAAAAAATGTTAGCATCCAAAACATTCACTATGATGATTGCTGTACTGCCTAGGCTTTTGGGTTTGGATCAACTTTTTCAAATTTTGATTCTGTTTTGTAACATTTTCTAGGTTTCGTAATAGTAAATTTGTAAGTAGGAATCAAGATCAGATATAACACATCATAAAATTCACAAAGTAAACTATATATGTTTTTTTTTTTATAACACTGAGCAATGAACAAAGTTTGAAGACAAACAAATGTGTAGGACTAAAAAACATAAAAATGAGATGTCAGTAGACACCATCATAACAACAGAAGAAAAAAGAAGCAAGTTTTACCAACACCCTTACTCATTTTGCCTCCAAAACTAGAAGGTGAACTAGCCATGATGGAGCGTTCCGAGCGATGTACGACTGGTGGCGCCTATCTCGAGTGACACTGAAAGCAATGGCCGTTGCTGCTTCATTACGCTCCGGAACAGTATGATCGAGACTCCATGAATCTATACGTGATAGAAGCCAGAGAATGCTGTGGCGGATGTGGCTGAGGTTAGGGTGTGCAGTTGGATTTGTCATAGCGTCATGTAAGCACTCCGAAGAAGTCTCAAAACTAATGTTCGAGAAGTGTAGATTGTGCAAACATTCCACTGCCCAAAAAAGAGCCCATAGGTCTGCCTCGATCTTCGTGCGCATGTAGGAATAAGACCGACGGCTATGCATAAGCGTGGCTCCGTTTTCGTCGCGAAGAATCCATGATGCACCACTCGGCTGATTTGAGTCAATCCATGAGGATCCCACATTACATTTTAGGGATCCATTAGGGGGTTTCCTCCATCGAACCTTATCTATGACCATATCATCCACTTGGTCTGACAAGCCCGTGAATGTATCATACCATGTTAGTTCTTCTTCATATGCCCTCCTAGCAATAAAAGAAGAATCTAAAACCTTATTCTTAAAAACAAAGGAGTTCCGAGCTTTCCATATTTCCCATAGTAACCATGGGAAAACTTTTTGTGTATGGATATCCAAAGAGGCGCTCCTTGCAATTTTGAGTAAATGGACAAAATTTAAGAATGTAGAATTCCTAAAAAAACCTCCTAAAGGAACCGGAACATTAGCTTGATTCCATATGTCACGTGCTTTAACACATGTGAATAAAACATGACAGATAGTCTCGTCTTCATTTCCGCAAACTGGACAAGTTGGATCTATCGGAATACCCCGAGTATTCAGACGTTGCTTAACCGCTAACGCACCTGATAGCGCCCGCCACATAAAATGCTTTAT